GATGTTAACTGTGAACTTTTGGCGTCTGCTCCATAATTCAACAATGTCTTGAACATGCTTTTATAGGGATAGTGATTATTTGCATTCGATACCAATTGATTTCCCAGGGACACCGACACTTGAGAGAACAGGGACTGTAAAAACAAGTTGATAGGCCCCACTTTCTCATCCTCAGCCAGTGGAGATGATGTAACATCGTCATGCACCACTTTAAGTTTCACATGTAGTCTTGTTCTCTTCAAATCAATGTACTCGCTACCCTGATTAGGGATAGCAAATTCCAATGGTGACGAGTCGTTGATTTGGCTTAATGGACGTACATCGTTGAAATAGAACATCTCTGTGGTTGTTGTGTAACTTGGAAGCGAAAAAAGAGAGTAAGAATCAGGGAGATATTCCGAAAAGTTACTGCTGGATAAGAGCGCCATTGTGTTAACTGAAAATATCGTTTCCTGCAACAGGTGTGCACGTTAAAACATTAGCTGTCTTAGAAGGAGTAGTGTTCTCTGTCTGACGTATCCTCTTGGTAGTGATGATCTGTTCTCCTGCAGCTCTTTTTAAAGACTTGCGTCGTCTCTCTTTGGCATCTGCTTTCTCTACTGTGCTCTGAGTCTCTGATGTCATTTGCAATTCAACTGAAGGTCCTTCTTCTTTTCTTTTCACTGTATGAGATGGTATTACTTTAGCTGATAATTTTCCATTGTGGTATTGCTGGTGACTTGTGCTCAGTTTCTTGAAGTAATGTTTCCAATTTTCATAGTGAGGTACATAGAGAGGATAGTCTTCCATCTTAACTTGCAAATGGATATCGCTGTAAGTGAAGTGTTGCACTGGTCTCCTCGCTCAAGAATGACAAGGCCACTTCATCACTGGGTTTTATAACAATTTCTATGACAGGTGATTCTTTCAATACCACATGAATATTATATTCGTTTGCAAAAGTGAAGTTAGGTCCCAACCTCAAGTCAATGCGTCTCAGCAATGGTAACTGAGCATCTCCTACCAGTGAACTATCACACAAGTTGCACAGTATGTTTACATATGGATCTTGGATTTTGTCCACATCAGTCAGTTTCCCAAAATTCAACTCTGTTAATGAAACAACCCAAAATCCATCCAACACCAGTCTTTGATTCAGTTTCACACGGAAATGATAGGGGCTGTTGTCCTTATAATAGTTTTCTTTTGAATCTGAAGACTTAAGGAAAATATATTTCTCCATCACAAATCTTTCAACTGACTTTCCTCCACAAAAAGAATCAAACGTACTTGGCCATCCTAACCATCGCACAAGAACATAGGTTTTACCTCCTCTACGTTGACGTTTCAGGATTTTTTCCACCTGCCACTCAATGTCCTCACCTTTGTTTACTTTTTGAAGTTCTTGAGTATAAAATGTTCCTTTAATTGGTTGATCATGAAAGTCTCTAATTCTGTACAAGGGTATTTCTTGCCTTTTGTAGTGATGAGCTATTTTGAACAATTCTTGAGTCCAGCGTAAATCAAGTTCTTTACTGAATGGTTTCCTCAGATATGGAATGCGAACAATATCTCCAACCTTATATTTGAATTTCTTCACTACATACTTGGATTTACTCTTGAGGTGTTTCCTCAAAGGTTTGACATATAGGTGATGCCATACTTTCAATTCATTGCTTTTATTCACTTGTGCTGGTGATAAATAAGGCAGTGATGAATGTAAAGTGTGATTGTAATTCTGTACCAGTTGAGGCAATATAGAAAGGTATTCTTTGGTGTTGTTATGTGTCATATAACGCGTGATCAAAGATTTCAGTGTTCTGTTGAAACGTTCCACATAATTGCTTTTAATGTTTTCATTACGTGTGATGATGTGGGTGATGTTTTCCTTTTTCAAAAATGATTCAAATTCTCCTCGAAACTCAGATCCTGCATCAGTACGAACTTTCTTTGGTCGTCTTGATTTGAGTATCTTTTTGAAAGATTTCACCACTGTAAGCGGTCTCTTATTCTCCAAAGGCGAGACAAAAGCATAGCGTGAAAGAATGTCCACGACTACCAACAGATATCTGACACCATCATTCCATTTCATGTACCTTGTCATATCTGCTAAATCTGCATCAAACATTTCATTCATTGTATTAACTCTTACTTTCATCCTTTTAAATTTATGTCTAACTGGTTTGTGTAAACTGTAAGCATCTTGCTCATTCACAAACCGTTTCACCTTCCTCAACCTGATATTGTGTTGCTTGTTTTTCTTCAATTCATCACGCAGTTTAGATGGACCATAGAAAGCACCTGGGTTTTGTGGGTTGAAATAATACTTTTCTAATGCACTGTTCTTCTTTCGAGAACTCATGATGAATTGAAACAAGGCAATGTGTTGAACAAGATTTTATACAACTAAAAAGAAGTGAACAAATTTATTTCACCACAGAAAATTCTATACATAACAACATCAGTTGAACATAGCAATCATCATACACAATAAGATAAGAACCAATGATCGTCATCTCAGTCATATGTCTTCTGTTGGAATGCAACCACTTATACTGTGAGGATATGTCCATGAAAGTCCTGAGATATCATGTCATCCACCATCCCCTCTGGATCATGATAACACATACAGTTCATCAGATCCATACAACATACATGACACCGAACCTGTCCACTATTGCAACTGATATATCGCAACATATTATTATGACAGCATACACTACAATTCTTTTGAAGAGGAGGGTTAGTTTGTGTTCTTCATAAGGATCATCCTCTACTGCATTTGACTCTTGTTGCTCAATATCTTCCATAAGCTGATTGTAATCCTGCCACCAGTCGTTTGGGGTAGTAGATTGACAGTCGGCTACGAGAGTGTCTTCATCCACAAACAAGTTGACTTCACTGGAAACATCCAGGTTAGCTTCAGTTGGAGGAGGTGAAATAGGTTCTATAACAAGCGATGGTTGACTTGAGTTCTTGTCCATTACCCTACCAACAAAAAGAAAAGAAAAAGATATGAATATATAACAAAATTGTTGATGTTACAAATTAAATAGATAGAACACAGTCGCATGTAACACAAATATATACTTACTTTGCTTTCTTAACCTGCTGTTTCTTTGGTTTCTTCACACTGGGCTGAAACAGATCATCCTCCATTTTTCTGCTTTCTTCTTCTTTTCTTAGCAACAACTGTTTTCTGTGTTGTTGCTGTCTCTGAAGTTTGCTCTTGAGCAGAGGAGAAAGATCCTATGAGATGAGTGTAATCCGTCAACCATTTCAAGAAAGCAGGTGACATTGGTTGAAGTTTCCCTTCTAAGGCTTTGGTCTTCTCCAACATATCCATATAGATGGTTTTGTACAACTCACTCGATCTCATCATAACTTCATGTAGATAAACCTGACTATCAAGAATATCCTTTACTTTCAGAAATGTATCATCAAATGTCTCCTCTGAGGAAAAAGCAACACGTTTCACATCCACACTTTTCTGTGCCATCATAGAGAATATGTAGGAGATAGACGATTTTCAACACCTTCTTGCCCCAAGTTGGTGATAAAACTGATTTGAAATAGCTAAAACGTTTGAGTGTAAGATAGGATTGTAGAGAATGGTTTGTCTGATTGGTTTATGTGTAATACACATTCAGTTTGATTGGTTAAGAGATATGGAATGATGAGAATTTTGCTTCAAGCGATTGAAATAGATGCAAATATGTGATGTCATTATAAACAATTCTGTGATAATATTTGAAATTTGTTAAGATAAGAATTTGGTTTTGTATAGAAGGAATGTGTATTGTGTAAATGTGGCACTTATGGAATGTGAGTTAGCGCACCTGTATATACCTGAGGGGCAGCTGTAGGAATGACGTTTCACCTCTATGGTTACTCCTACGCTCCTTAAGGAATGTCTTTGTCCTGCTCTATGCTCCTTAAGGAATTTCTTTTGAGCCTGTAGGAATTTCTTTTGTTGTAACAACTGAACCTATGGAATGTCATTCATAATGTAATGAACCTACATTCTTTAAGGCTGAGCCTGTAGGAATTTCTTTTGTTTGGTTCAGGAATGCTATTGTTTGGGTGAGGAATTCTTTTGTGTGTGTATGACGAATGCTATTGTATGTGTATGGCAGATTACTTATTACCTACTTGCGGTATACAACAATTAATTTATTGTTCTATTGAGATTTTGATATACATTTAGTCTCTTGGACACATCCGTACAAGGAATGATAAATTTTTGTAACTTGCTTTCCGAATATTTTCCCTTAAAAGTATGGCGTCGGCAGTGGAGAAAACGGTGAAACATTTTTAAGGTTTACCAAACTGTATAAACGATACCCAGAACACACCTGACTAGTATATATTTCCTGTAAGCTATGGGTAACAATTACAGCGAATTAATTTCACTTTTGGCACTCACGTTTTAGCAATCTAATTCGTCTGAGTTCGTTTACATATGATTAGGTGTGTTCTGTTTGTATTCTTTGGCCTTACTGGAAAAATCAGTATTAGAGATTGTCATCCTAAAATCAAAATTTGTCCTTCATTGTTATCATGTAATTTCCTGACAGCAACTCGATCGATCCCTGTCATGACATGACAACAATAAAAGAAACGTCCTTTCAATAGATTGGCAAAATTAAGGTTGATAGACTTAAGTACCCATAACATATCATTCGTGACCCACACGTGTTATTCCGGGACAAGCCGAATAGCGATTACGGAAAGGGGCGAGTGGTGACGAATGATAACATATCTGTACTCTCTTAAAAATGTTACAAGTCTCGAAATGTGAACCTCCCAATATTCAATATTAAAGCATTACATGGTTAATAATATGAACTATTAAATACTTTAATATTGAAAGTCGGGGTGGTCCTTAACTTCTTTTGTTGAGTATATATTAAGATTCAGAATGAACGTCATAATCATAATAGTAACTATATTTCACATTGGTGAGAGTTGGGGTCGGTCGACAAACCGTCAACGAAGTTGTAAAACCACAAACACCACACCTTTTCTCGGTATTCCTCCACCTTCTTCTGGGCGACATCGGGTTTGGTGTAGGGGCTGTCCCGAGCCCGATCCTCAGGGGACACTAGGAATATATCATTGGGTTAAATTACTACCTTATCGAAAGTCACAACACTATAATGTTTACTTGATATATCATAAAAACTTGTAAATACATGTATAAGATACTTTTAGTAAACTACGTATTTATGATGGGCTGAGTGAGTTACCCATGTAGAATTACTGACCTGGTTTCTTTACGAACGAACGCTATCTCAGCAGTATTACGGCGAGGTACACAAGAAATGGGCTCCACACATTGTACCCATGTGAGGAATCGAACCCGGGTTTCGGCATGACGAGCGAACGCTTTAACCACTAGGTGAGCCACCGCCCCTACTGCATCTATGATGAACACGCTTGTAACGAACAGACAGATATAACGAACTGTTTGGGGGTCCTTGTAACGTGCTGTTGTAACGATTTAGACTTAATGGTCCCTTTGTGTTCGTAATAAACCACAGTTTACTCTATGTAAACCGAGTCTGGGTTATAGTGAACACACAAAGGGTATGGGATGTTTAAAAGATAGGTATATGAAAGGGACATTTTAGGTTTAATGGAAATTACAAATTTCAAAGCTACAAAAACCTTTGAGAGACTCGTATCAAATAATGCGACAAGTTTTAACAGTTGACACTTTTGCTTGTTTTGACTTACGGCATGAGCAATCACAAAGGAATCTAAAAATTTGAAATAGCTGATTTTTCACCTTTAAGATAAACAAATAATTGGCCTTTGAATCCTTTTTAACCATACTTGTGTCACATACTGCTTTTATCAACATGTCCTAAGAAAATCAGCTTGGGTCAAAGACTTGCTCATATCAAAAGATTATGAAACGGTTTCACCTGTCGACATTATGCATGTATTCCATTCATAAGGTAAATGGACTGGCAGTAGGGTAGCCTAGTGGTTAAAGCGTTTGCTCATCACGCATAAAGTATGGCTTCTATCCCCACATGGGTAAATATAAAGCCCATTTCAGTGAATACCCTGTCGTGATATTGCTGGAACATTTCTAAAAGCGGAGTAAAATCCAAGGATCGCCAAGTGGATTGGTGGATAATCGTCCTTGCTGATACGAGTGTGAAGATAATATTTTCGTAATCTGACTATAATTTTGATGCAAACGGGTAAAAGCCTCACTCACTCTCACTCACTCACTCACTCACTCACTCATTCACTCACTCATTCAAAACCCGGATGCCTCAAAAACCTAATTACCAATGATTCCGCCCTTGATCCAGGGATGGGACAAAATGGTTGGCCATGAGCATCGCTCCTTGGGATTCTTGATGAGCATCATCTGCAGGAGGTCTTTGAGATCTGGGGGCATGTTGTTGGTCCATGGTACTGGGGAGTTGAGGATCTTCATCCCTAGAGTGACCATATTGTTGGAGAAGAAGGGCGGGTCGCCCACCAACAACTCGTATATTATACAACCTAACGCCCTGCAATACAAAAACCCACATAGATTAGAAACGTGTAAAAAGAAGCCAAATAACGTCTTTTGATTCCTGACCTAAACCTGGAAAGAAATCTTTGTTTGCTGCTAAGCCTAGTAAGGTGACTGCAGCTGTTTGAACATTCTGACTTCGGAGGGGCGGTGGGGTAGCCTCGTGGTTAAAGCGTTGGCTCGTCACGCCGAAGACCCGGGTTCGAAACCCCACATGCGTACAATGTGTGAAGCCCATTTCTGGTGTCCCCCGCCGTGATGTTGCTGGATTATATCGCTAAAACCAAACTCAGTCAGTCTGACTTCGGACAATGGCTGGCTTATCGTCATATAACACTATTCAAGTTTCGATTGTCTGTGTTTAGTTTTACATCACACTCAGCAGAATTTCGGTTATGCGTTTGTTTATAAAGTGTCTGGACCTGACAATCCAGTGATTAATAACACGAGCCACGATAAAAGTCATTTGGTAGTACGATGTCATGCAATCAACCCGATCTGTCACCAAATCTAACCACTGGATCCACTTAGTCGCCCTAAGAACAGACTTGTTTTGCTGGGGCTAAATCTAAACAGTAATTATATATAACTCCTATCTTATAAATATATATAATATGTATTGCATATGTTATTTCCTATGTAGAAGATCTAAGACAACAGTTAGAAACATTCCTAGATGTATGCTATTAAAATTAGTTGGATAAACCCCCAACTGAAATCTGGCTTTGCAACAGCTACCAGCCATGACTGCATTCACATAAAACAACAGGGTTCTCTTCATGGTATTTGGGGTATTCTGTCCTCGGCTCTTGAAACATGTTTAATGATTAATTCATTTTCAACACAAGGCAAGTGTGAAATGAGCCCCGTGTCGTGTTCTGTGTTTTTATATTTCCCCTCTGTGACGTGAACTAATAATTACTGTCGATGTTACAAACTTTCAATTCCTTGATGATATAATCTCAAACAATGATTCTGTCGTACCATATATCCACTTTTTCTGTGTACGAGACGAACGTGTCCGTTGCTATTTCTGGAGCCATGTACACTGGAGTTCTCTGAAATATGGAAACAGGTTTAAAACAATGTTTCTCATCATCATGAGAATAATAATATCATCTGCCGACTATTTTATATCATCATGGTACTGAGTGAGTGAGTGAGTATGGATTTACGCCGCTTTCAGCAAATTTCCAGCAATATCACGGCGGGGACACCAGAATAGGGCTTAACACGTTTAACCCATGGAGAATCAAACCCGGGTCTTCGGCGTTACGAGCCAACGCTTTAACCACTGGGCTACTCCATTGCCCCCAATGTTGTAACTACCTATCAGGATCCGGGATAGAACTGGTCTTTGAACATCAATTCGTTAGTACGATGCTCATGCTGTTGATCACAGGATTGTCTGGAATATTGTCTAGTGCGGCGTTAAACAACAATCAATCAATAATGTTGTGACTGATACATGTATATAATACAATATTACATTGACATCGCCGTTGGGACCAATACACAAGCCAAAACGAAAAGCGTTAACGTCCCATGGCCCAATCAGAATGATTGGATGTTTAATGTTTTTCAGTCACCTTTATTGTAGTGGCATAGTAAGTCTCCCCCATTGCCCGGGCGAAGCCGAAGTCGCACAGTTTGACGGTACCGTCGTCCATGAGGAGGACGTTCTCAGGCTTCAGGTCTCGGTGCAGGATTCTATTGGCGTGGAGGTAGAAGACCGCCGAGGACAACTGACAGGCAATCTCATGCACCTACGGCGGGAGATGGAGACAGTCAGATGAGTGAGTGAGTGAGTTTAGTTTTACGTCGCACTCAGCAATATTCCAGCGGCGGTCTGTAAATAATCGAGTCTGGACCAGACAATCCAGTGATCAACATCATGAACGTAACCATGCTTGTCGTAAGACGGGATCTGGTGGTCAGTCCCGTTGACCTGGGTGACACATGTCCATGATTGCATAGATCGATGCTCCTTCTATTGGTCACTGCATTACCTGGTCCAGACTCGATTATTTACAGACCGCCGCCATATAGCTGAAATATTGCTGGATGCGGCTGTGAACACCAAAGCAAACATGCAACCAACCAACTAAATGTCTTCAGTCGATGCACAAATTCACACTGTGTGAAGCGACACTAAAATGTATAGCCATAAAGGGACCAGACACCATATGATGTCAAAGGTTACCTCCCTTTATTTAAGCACCATATGACGTCAAGGTTACCTCCCTTTGTTCAGACACAAGATGTGCTTGGCATTCATGTCGTACCTTTAGAGCTCTCGACACTGATTGGCTGATTTAAGGATATCCTACGGGGATGTCCTCAGATCTCCACACACAGAAGTATCGTATCGGAGTAAAAGGAGTGTTTAAAATAACCCATTGCCCGACAGCGCGAGACATTTGGTTTTGCGAATAGACTGTCAGTTTTCAAAAGTTGCACGGTCGACGGTTGGATCCATAAGTCACCTGATCATACGAATTATAACTTAATGTATTGTATTTATTCGGTGTAATAGCTAAATTAACTGTAAATGTAAACACGTTTTTAAATATTTCCTCTGTGTGTTGATATCACGTTTCTGTTCTCATTGTATACAGGCCTAATGCTCGAAATGACGTACTTAGTTAATGTTTAAAGCATGTATTGTTTTAAACACTGTGTGTAATACGTGTTCTGTGGTTCACATGTTGAAGTTACTATGTTCACAATCCACCAGCTTATTGTTATTTCCTGAGAACTGATATTAAACAGTAGTCTTTTAACATTTTACCTTTTACTTACTTTTGTTCCCGAGTCTACACTTTTTCTGATCTGGTACTTTGCAAAGTTGTCAGTTCGTTTGTCTAACTGACTGAAATGTTTAGGAATTACATAGCAATGGTAAGACAGGTTTAAATCAGTTTCTGACTACCACGGCTGGTAATTCTATGACAACAGCGATATGTTTGCGCCTGTAATGTGTATAAGATAAAAAGAAAATATTATAATAGGTGAGGTGAGGTGAAATTGGGTTTAACGTCGTGCTTGAGAATATTTCGTCATATGACGACGTGCATGCGTGTGTATGTGTATATGCGGCTGCTTGTACTAGTCCAGACTTAAGCTGGTTTTATAGTGCTAGCCCACTGAGATACCATGCTGCAGTGAAGCATGAATACCCCACTCAGACACATTATACTGACTCCGAGCCGACCAGTCCTTGTTGTACCCATTAATTCCGAGCGCCAGGCAGGGACCAACAAGTACCATATTTTAACGTCTTTTGGTATGACGCGGTCGGGGATCGAACCCGCGACCTTCCACTCTCCGGGCGAAATATTATAATATGTTGTATACAACAATAATACTAAAACCTAGTTTTCTCAAATATACTGTACCCTGTTTTCTGGAAAGCACCCAACAGCGATGAGTGTTTTGTATAACTCTTTAGAAGCACACTCCGTGACCACCACCAGCTGAAAACAAACAAACAAACATACAGACATGTAACCACGAGTTAACATCGGGACAGTGTTGTAGCATTCGTAAGTACTCGTGTCATTCCGGGAAGCCGGATGGCGACTCGTACCCCTCTCGTGGCCATGTTCACGACGGGGCTAAGCGCAAACGGGCACGGAGATGAAAGTAGTCTCGGATTATTTCCAAGGAAAGATAACCCTGAATGTCCAAACATAGCTTCTAATAAACGCCAATTAATTTTACAACGCGAAAGTCACTTTAAGTTTTATATGTCGTTAACAGTTATCAGTAACAAGATAATTATATAATCACGGAAATAATAAAGAAATTCGATAATCGCAAAGAAACTATTTGACCTCATTTCACATTTCACTACGCGTGATTTGAATGGTTTGCCACGATTCTTGGCAATAATTGCGTACTATACAGGTACGAGTCTTCTTGTAGGTCACGGAAAGAGGCGAGTAGTTACGAATGAGTGTTGTTGTTACAATGATAGTCCAAGGACAAATGCTACAAAAGTCCCTATATGTTAGGATCTCTCAGCAGCGGTAAGAAGTCCTATCAGTAATTAGTATGACCCCTCCAACCCTCCTAAAATCCTTGTTGATAGTGAACTAGCCACAGCATGTATCAGGTCACTAAAAGCAATCAAGGTTTACAACATTGCTTCACCCACACAATCCACATGTCCACTGACCAACTGCATGAATATTAACCCCGGGTCTAATGGAGGCTGAAAAGGATTAATGCACTACTTGGTAAAGACATGTAGACTTTGTGATAAGGCCGGTGTATCACATTACCTGGTTTTGATACTACCTCTAAATTTGGCCCTAGCAGTAATAAATTTATAGAGAATGAATTAGTCAAAACGCAACTTTGAACACTATCAAGGTTATAGCCCAGCCTGTCAGCTTGATTTGTAAAGAAGGTCATATGTAAAGTAGGCCCTTGAATGCCACCTACAAGCACAGGTGTGCTGCTGACAATAGATCGGGAGAAGCTTTGGGTTCGGATCCTCGACTATATGTTCCTGACTCGGCAAAGGGAGGCAACTCTGTACACCTACAGTACCCTAGACTGTGCGAAGGTGATATGGTCGCTGGTTTGGGAATCAAATCCCTGGTTTTTCGCCACATATCTTATTCTCTTTATAACAAGGGGCGGTGGAGTAGCTTGGTGGCTAAAGAGTTCGCTCGTCACGCCGAAGACCCGGGTTGGACTGCTCACATGGGTACAATGTGTGAAGCCCGTTTCTGGTGTCCCCCGCCGTGATATTGCTGGAATAGTGCTAAAAGCGGCGTAAAACTAATTTCACTCACTTACTCTTTATATACAGAATAATTAATATGTAATGCTAGTGGTCGCTTTAGTATGAATTTTAACCGGAATGTATCCATTGGTACATTCCCCCCTCTCCCGTATCCCATCCTTGAGTTCATCACTTACGGAGTTCAACATCCGGGTGACGCACAAGGTATAAATGATGCTACATCGAAAGCGGCAGTAAAATACTTCACTTACGTCGCTAGAATTACTGCCAGTAACAGCAGTGCGTTTTGAAAATAAATTCTGGTTGCATGTTTTCGTTTCAAATGATGTTCGTATCATTTCGGTCTGTGTATGGCGTGTGTATGACAGTATGGCGTGCATTTGTCGACAGTATTGGGTGAATTTATGGACAACGTGACCTACATCAATGGACTACATGACATGCAGTTGTGGTCAAACATGGCGTGTACCTCTGGACCACATGGCTAAAATGTTTTGATAATTTGGCGTGTATTTGTTGAATTTGCCTATAACTGTAGATTGTGAATTTCTTTTGCATTTCAGGTATGTATTTCAGGACAACACAGCTTCAATATCTTGGAAACAAGGCTTTCATTTACGAACAACATGGTTTATGAGGACAACATGGTGTATGAGGGACAACATGGCGTGTAAATGTCGACAATATGGCGTGTAAATGTGGACAATATGGCGTATGTGGACAAACATGGCGTGTAAATGTGGACAATATGGCGTATGAGGACAACATGGCGTGTAAATGTGAACAATATGGCGTATGTGGACAAAACGGCTCTACGTACGTATCCCGGAATGTCGTAGGAGTCGAGCAGCTTGATGATGTTGGGGTGGTTCACCTTCTTCATGATGAGGATCTCATTCCTCACATCATTCATCTCCTTCTTGGTCCTGAAGGAGGAGATGTACTTGAGAGCGCAGATCTGTAACACACAGAGTTTACCCGTGAAGATCAGGGTTAGAATTGATCTTCAGTAACCCGTACTTGTCGTAAGAGGCGACTAATGCTATCGGGTGATCAGGCTCGCTGACTTGGTTGACACATGTCATCGATCCCTATAGCGTAGATCTATGCTCATGATGTTAATCACTGGGTTGTCTGACCCAGACTCGATTATTTACAGACTGTGTTCATGTAGCTGTAGTATTGCTGAGAGCGGCGTTAAACAGCAGATAAACAAACAAATAAATATATTTGTTGTTTACAGGTTGGCTTAGTGGATAAAGCGTCTAGACGGAAAGTCGTTGGTTCGATACCGTACTATGCAGAATTACGTACAAATATGATACTTATTGTTACCCTGCCTGGCGATCGTCAATAATGTATTAGAACAAAGACTGGTTGACTCGAATAACGTATACCATGTCGGCGGTGTAACAAAGTAAAACTAGCGGACGGGATCTCATTTGGCTAGCGCCTAAAAACAGACACTTCTCCAGGCTAGTCACAGTACCTGAGGTATTATGTGTACGTACACACAGAGGGAGGCCCAGGCAGACATACGCACACATACATACAAACACACACTGACACACACAGGCAGACAGACAGGCTCACACATACACACACATGTCGTTATATTGGTGTAATAATCGTGAAAGCAATGTTGAACTTTCACGAAGACATTACCTCCCCTGATCCGCCTCTCTTCCTCCCCTTGTACACATCGCCATAGGCGCCACTGCCGATCAGCTCCAGCGCCTCGTATCGCTCGTCCTGCATGTTGGCTGGGTCTTCCTGGAGAGACATGATCCAATGAGAAAAAACATAACATCATCCCTTTCATGTTTCCTTTGGAGTGTAACTATGATGTACTTTTGTTTTGTTGTTAGTTTGTTGTTGAACGCCGCACTCAGCAGTATTCCAGCTGTATGGCGGCGGTCTGTAAATAATCGATTCTGGATCGAAAAATCTAGTGATCAACAGTATGAGCATCGATTTACGCCAATTGGGATACGATGGCATGTGTCAACCAGATCAGCGAGCCTGGCCATCCGATACCGTTAATCGCCCTTTACGACAAGCACGGACCAGTACTGGAGATCAATTCTAACCCGGATCTTCACGGGTAATCTGATCTCAATTTGAGGTCGCCCTTGCTATTCTTTGTACAGACACGAGTTATTGTGGGTTCGAACAGAATATGTTCCCATGTGTATCAGTGCCCGTGGGTTCCGCCAAAGTGTTCAACGCCATCGCAAACGTCATTAGTCCATCCTCACCCTTGTAAAATATCTAAAATATCTGCGAGTTTGGTTTCTGCAAGTCAGTATTTCTCATATGTAGATGACTATGCTTTGAATTAATTCATCTTATGTACTTTCTTTGTTCTTGAAGCCGACCAGGAACAATTCTACAATGAGGCGGCGACCTGTATATAACTATAAATAGTCGAGTCGATTCCCCACTTGGGTACGTTGTGTGAAACCCATTCCTGGTGTTTCCCGCCGTGACATTGCTGGAATGTTGCGGCGTGAAACCATACTCACTCACTCATACTCACACAGGTCATTATAGAATAGAGCATACTAGTGGTGGTCCGATTAATTGAAATAATCGAAGATTGGTCGCAGTGACTCAACGACCAAGCAATCGAACATGTTTTCTCATAATCGAACACGACCAATCTTGGAACACTTGTTTGCATTAACATTATTTTTCACAATGCTGGTTTTGACTGTGTCAATAAATTTACATTTCATAAGCACTACATGTAGAAGCTCGTTCCAAGTCATGATTGAATATATCTTAAAGAATGTGTTCCTAACATACTAATCATCATTTAAATATGCAAAATATGCAAACGGACTTGATGCAATTTGCAAAAAAACAACAAATTACTACATGTTTTTTCTTTATTTTTTTGTGCTTTAACAAAAATAACAGGAACAATTGATAAATGACGCAAACCAATTATTTTCGATGATTGATCGGTTGTAATGGACCAATCATCAATTATTAGATTTTAACCAATTCCCAACACTAGAGCATACATCTGCTGTATAGTAATATGACTTAATATATTACATAACATATATTATATATTATTTATCAATATACGCAATTGTAAAAGGAAGTTGACATGGAAAGTATACAAAAGTAATGCATGCAGTATATAGTTTACTCTGCTATAATTTCTATCTAAGAACAGAAACAATATGTATTACTTTCCATTATAAAACGCAAAAGTAAAGTAAAACAAGATCCAAGTCACTCTCGACATATGAGGGGCGGTGGGGTAGCCTAATGGTTAAAGCGTCCGCTCGACATGCTGAAGACCCGGGTTCGATTCCCCACATGGGTGCAATGAGTGAAGCCCATTTCTGGTGCCCTCGCCGTGATATTGATGGAATATTGCTAAAAGCGGCGTAAAACCATACTCACTCACTCACTCACTCAACATGTGAACTATTCGTCTCAGTCAAGCTCAGTCAAACCCTATTTCCACATTAACCTTAAACATGCTGTATACTTGCGATAACAATTTGATCTAAATCAAAAAGAAAATATTAGTAAGAATTCTATTTATATCTATTACATGACATGAAAAAAAGCAATTCGTATGGAGTATAAATATCTACAACGCACTGCGACAATCGTTTTATTTACCTATTGAGCTTCATTTGAATTCAGCTACTCACTGTTTCCGGCTCCAGCTAACTCTATAGTAAGCGTCCATGTGAACTGGATAGGTTCTTATCCATAACGGATCACAGACTTTAAGAAGCGTAAAAACAGCGATTAGCTACATTATCAACACCTGAACGGTATTAGTGACTCTTATCGTGTAAGGCGGGGAATATAAGTGCTTTGCACACGTACTCTAAGTTCTACGGTAGATAATTAACAACACGGTCGCCATTTATTATCATTATCATACACGACAGTTTCTTATAAATGTCACTGTACTTACTTTGTGAAAAGGGACCATGGTATTTGGAAGATTGCTTATATATAACAGGGGTGGAAATAACTTTAAAATTGTTAGTGTACTCCGGTACAGTGGCACATGTAAAATCACTTGCTCTGATCATTTCTCCACTATACCGGCCGTTTTCTTGTTATTTTTTAAAATAAACAACATTATTAACATTGGAAAGTCAACTGGACACCGGTACACAGTGTGATATAAATTTGCTTGCCTGACAGAATTTGGGTTATTTTCCTGAATATTCAAGGAAATAAATAAGCGAACACATGAAAGTACAAGTGTTCCTTCATTTATTTCCAGGATTTCTCTCACATTGCAATATATACCTTGTGAAAAAACCTGGTAAAGAATAAAGGAACACTTTACTTCCCTGTGCTCCCTTATTCGTTTCCATGAGTATATACATTTTGAGACGAGGGGGTAGCCTAGTGGTTAAAGTGTTCGCTCGCCATGCCAAAGACCCGGGTTCGATTCCCGAAATGGGTACAACGTGTGAAGGCCATTTATGGTGCCCCCGCCGTAATATTACTGGGACATACTAAAAAGCGGCGTAAAACAAAATTCACTCACTTATACGTGTTTCGTGAAGTAACTGTGACAGTCCCTTTGAAGTGAACAGCATGTTTATGACTTACCGTTTCAATAGAACACAGAGTCCTCCTTTGAATCTGTTTGGCCGTCTTGTATGTACAATACTGTACCTGGTAGCTTTATAACCACACTGTTTAAGGTATTCGTGAAATATAGAGTCGCTGCCGCGCCAGGACTTTGGGGACTATTCTTGACGCTGACATGGACATAAGAGTGACTGTACGGGGAAACGTACATAAGCATACACGTTATATTGTGATTCAGTGCATTTCTTCTGTGTGTCTATAAACACCAGTATAGTCACAAAAGTAGCGTAAATGAACCCGAATGCATGTACAAACAACCGTCCTTAACGTTTTCCTAATTATTGGTTTCAGGTTTCTTGAAAATCTTTAGTCGAGGATGAAAATGGAAAAAATATTGAAAATGGAAAAAATATATATGTAATATATTTACAGTATGACAAATATATAAAAACATCATTGTTTCGTTTATGACGAGTAAATTTGTATGTCATATTTAGGGTTTGCTCAGAATTGGAGGAAAATAGAATCATTTTTATTCGGAAACTACCTTGTTCAGGACAAGATTGGAGTCAAGCGAGATAAGATATCTGAGATTCACAGATCACAACCCACTATAAATGAACGAATGAATGAATGAATAAATAAATGAATAAATAACGTAATAATGTTTATTATAAATGGTGAGTTCAGTTCTAAACCCCTTTCAGCAATATTTCAGCAATATTTCAGCAATATCACGGCAAGGGACACCAGACATGGGCTTCACACATTGTTCCCATGTGGGGAATCGAACAGGAGTCTTTAGCGTGATGTTATAATAATTATTATGAATGGGTGGATTTATGAACGGGTGGATGAATACGGTGTACATTTATTCAATAATGAATTACAATATATAATAAAATGAAACAAATAAATAAAACAAAAAGAAAAGAAAAATCATTTTGCGATCAAAGTTTGTCCTCATTACACAGGGTCTCGGATACAAGAGAAGGAAATATTCACTGCATTTGCTCTCCCCATTTGTAGTATAAAAAATGAAAGTATAAAATCAGTGTGTTTCTATCTTGAGTTACAATGTAAGTACACCTACACCTACATACTCTGTCGGCATTCTTTAATCTGCTCTATCCAGGTAAGCGTGAACAAAAATAGCAGGTAGAGGTCACGACCAGGTCAAGGATCATTAGAGAACACTGAGGGATCGATCTATAAGTTACAGTAATCGACCGATTGTACCCGGGGGCTGGAAGGTTCATCACTTGCCTCACACCTTGCAGCGTTGTACACCTGTGAGTGAGTTTAGTTTTACGCCGCACTCAGCAATATTTCAGTTATATGGCGGTGGTCTGTAAATAATCGAGTCTGGACCAGACAATCCAGTGATCAACAGCATGAGCATCGATCTACGCAATCGGGATACAATGACATATGTCAACCAAGCCAGCAAGCCTGACCACCCGATCCCGTTTGTCGCCTCTTACGACAAGCATGGGTTACTGAAGGTTCATTCTAACCCGGACCTTCACGGGTATGATGAACTTTAAGATTTCGTGCCAAACTGAACCAGATGGCTTAACATGCGATTCGATGATGATATCAATCACTAGGTTCTCTCGTCCAGACTCGTTTACGACCTTCGTCAAATAGCTTTAACGCCGCTTTTAATATTCCAGCAATATCACGGCTGGGGACACTAGAAATGGGCTCCACATATTGTACCCGTGTGGGGAATCGAACCAGAGTCTTTAGCGTGATGAGCGAACACTTAAACCACTAGGCTACCCCGCCGCCCCATGACGTATAACAGCGACTGCAACAATCTGTTTTGGCTGTAACGGAGGCTACACGGTTCATCATTTGCCTCACATTTCAGAGCGTTGTCTACTTGATGAACTATGATGTAGACAAGCTACTGCAACCAGCTGTATTGATTGTGTATGTGGCGGAGTGACATATGGGTTGTGTTACATATGTTTTAAATGTCCTTGATAACACATGAAGGGAACAACAGCTGGGTGAATATACGCCATAATAATATCATTATCAAGCTTAAACTCAAGGACGGGTAGGTCATTTCCGCGTGCGCGTATGTGAGTCGTTGTCTGTATGTTTGTGTGAATGTTGTTTTACGCCGCACTCAGCACTATTCCAGGTATATGGCGGCGGTCTGTAAATAATCGAGTCTGGACCAGACAGTCCAGTGATCAACAGCATGAGCATCGATCTACGCAATCGGTATACAATAACATGTGTCGACCAAGTCAGCGAGCCTGGCCACCCGATCCCGTTAGTCGCCTCTTATGACAGGCATGGGTTGCTGAAGATCAATTCTGATCCGGATCTTCACGGGTCTCACACTTCAGAGCGTTGGCTGTATACCTGATGAACTATGATGTAGACCAGCTACAGCCACCACCTGTATTGATTGTGTATGTGGCGGAGTGGCAGTACATGGATTGTGTTACATGTGTGTTAACTGTCCTTGATGACACGTGCAGGAAACAACAGCTGAATGTATATATACGGCATAATAATATCTATATCTGACTGGAAATGAAGTATTGAGAGTCTTCACTTTCTCCTTGGGAGCGGTGAGGTAGCCTAGTGGTTAAAGCGTTCGCTCGTCACGCCGAAGACCCGGGTTCGATTCCCACATGGGCACAATTTGTGAGCCCATTTCTGGTGCTCCCCGCCGTGATGTTGCTGAAATATTGCTAAAAGCGGCGTCAAACCACACTCACTCACCCACTTTCTCCTTGAAAGTACGTGCGTACGTGCAAGCGTGTGCGTCTGTGTCGGCATGTGGGTGTTTATATATGTGTGGGTGGGTCTGTCTGCCTGTGGTCTTTTGACGGTTTTGAAAAGCCTATGTGTAGTTTGGAAGGAGAGGGGCAGTGAGCGAGTGAGTTTAGTTTTACTCCGCTTTTAGCAATATACAAGTAATATCACGGCGGGGAACACCAGAAATGGGCTTAACACATTGTACGGGATCGACGAGGGGAATCGAACACAGGTCATCGGCTTGACGAGCGAACGCTTTAGCCACGAAGCTACCCAACCCACCGCCACGTAGTGATTGGGGGAGGTGGTAATGGCGGTAATAATACATCCCCTTACCCTCCCTTTTCAGACATCTTACGTTTGTCAGTCTGTGTCATTTGGGCCGCCGTGATATCGCTGGAATATTGCTAAAAGCGGCGTAAAACTAAACTCACTCACTCACTCATTTGTTGTTATTTTCACGGCATGAAATACGTAGCATCCATTTTATGCATGGCGTAATCGGTTTCTGTTTCCTGTTAAGGTCAGATACCTGCTTTCGGTGCTGTAACTATACACCTGGTTAATTCCGGCGACACAAGTTATTTCAATCCCCAGACACATACATCAATAAAATATTCACCATTTAAAAATCTCATCAAAATAACACGACACTTTAACCCCACTGAGCGAACCGATCTGAACCGCCGAACATAACCTTTACAAATACCTCGTGTCAGTCTTTACGAAATCGACGCGCGAACCAGTGAGAGGAATTCCCCAGGAGTTTGAAAAGCTCACGTAACCCAGTAAACAGACCCGGGCGCGGCCGTGACTCACCTGAGTGCGACCACACGACTCGATCACACAGGATTTACCTGTACAGGTAGTTAATGGCAAAACTCTGCCCCTGAGTTAGGACAGAGCTACGCAACATACAGGTAAGCGAAGCTGTAAGCTCGGTTTAGTGCATGTTCATATCTATGCCAGATCGATTATAACCGCTGCCTATATATCCATGTGAGGAGCCCTAACCACTCGTGTTGTCAACAATGATATATCATGTTTCTAAATTATGTCGTAAAACTGTGAACGTTGATGTCAACAGTGATTGCTATGCCATAAACGATACAGTACTGATTAATCTAAGTTATTATATGATTGTCGTAATAGATAATATCAGTTATTACATTTAATAACTGATCACGAGGGGTAAATATAGTAACTGACAGTTTGATGAACAAGTTGACAGCTGCACGTAATGACAAGATAAAGGGTGTATGATGTCATTATAAATATTAACTTGGTAATTGTAATTGGCCTGTCTCGAGGGAGAAGATAAGGTTTGATAAGATAGTGAAGGCAGGGACTCACGTGCTTTTGCTCCACGCTAAAATGTCGGTCACTGTTGTACGGAGTCGAGAGATATTGCGAGGCTAGGTCATTCACAATCGGTTGGAGTTCTTTTATATCGCTGTTGTGTCACGCTGACATTTTTAGTCCAGAGTTGTCGTATCCAATGTGAGCGAGGCCTAGTATGTATTGCCCTTACATGTCGTCACAGCATAATTGAATCAGCCATGAATATAATATGACCTCTGACATTCAAGGTGAAGGACGTAATTATCAGAGCGTAGTTGTATATACAGGTTTGTACAACAGGCTGAGCAAGACTGGTTATGTGTCTAGTGTGACGCGTTGTGCTCATTCAACAGGTACGTATATTCTTATGCCGGATTGGGTGTAGGTCTACAAGTTTGTAGTAAATGTGCTTGTAAATTACAGTTTTACCTGAGGTTGTCATGACGACCAAGGGGCGTGGTGAACATCTGTTCCGTGTTTCAGGTGTGACGATGTCTGACGACAAATACGAGCTGCTGAAGAAGATCGGCGGGGGGTCATATGGAGTTGTGTACAAGGGCAGGAGACGGGACAATAAAGACAAGGTATTTGTCGAAACAATCCCTAGACTCAGTGGATAGTGAATGAGTGAGTTTAGTTTTACGCCGCTCTTAACTGTATTTGATTAATATTAATTTCATCAGGAATGACGCATGTGTGTTTGTACGTTGTCTACGTCACTCTCAGCAATATTGCAGCTATGTTAGGCAGTGGGGTAGTCCTAGTGGTTACGGCGTTTGCTTTTCACGCCGAAGACCCGGGTTCGATTCCCCACATGGGTGCAATAATGTGAAGCCCATTTCTGGTGTTCCCCGCCGTGATGTTGCTGGAACATTGCTAAAAGCGGCGTAAAACTAAATTCACTCACTCAAGCTATGTGACGAAGGTCTGTAAATTATAGAGTCTGGACGAGAGAACCTAGTGATTGATATCATGAGCATCGATCCGCATGTTAAGCCATCTGGTTCAGTTTTGGCACGAAATCTAAAGAGTTGAAATCTGCATCGCGACTTCCGGTATCTTAGACGACCGTCGCGCATGTTCCCATAAATGACTTGGAGGCATCAGAGGTCAAGGACGAGGTTGTTTTGCCATGACGTCGATCTTGTCTCGCTAAGTGATTTGTCTGGTTCAGACTCGTGTATTTTAAGCCGCCATGATAAAGCTGGAATTTACAAAATGTGGTATGAATATTGTTTTCCTTTTCGTGACGAACCAAGCTGTCTCTTTGGTGAGTTGCCGTTATCGGGATATCATGACGTCACGGTCGACGTCAAATTGCCATTTCACGGTCAGAGAGTGACATGGTAACAGAAACTAATTGCTACAAATATTTCACCTAGACAGGTTGTATATATCGTATCGTTATACAATAATGGAATGGGAGGCGGATTCAAATGGGTGAGTGAGTGAGTTTACTTTTACGCCGCACTCAGCAATATTCCAGCTATATGGCCTCTGTCTGTAAATAATTGAGTCTGGACCAGACAGTCCAGTCACCAACAGCATGAGCATGGATCTGGATACGCAAATGGGAACCGATGACACGTGTCAGCCAAGTCAGCGAGCCTGACCACCCGATCCCGTTAGTCGCCTCTTATGACAAGCATGGGTTACTGATTCTTACCCGGATATTCACGGGTCGGGGTCAAATGGGATTTCAATGGGGTGTATGGTCGCATTCCAGGGTATTGTACTTAATGGCAACGTGCATGCTTGTTCACGTCCTCGTGGTTAGGCTTGAACCGGTTTTAATGTGCTGACTCACTGAAATACCATGCTGAAGTCTGACATGGATACCCTCTGATACCATCTAAACGAGTGAGTGAGTTTAGTTTTATGCCACACTCAGCAATATTCCAGCTATATGTAAATGTAAAATCGAGTCTGGACCAGACAATCCAGTTATCAACATCATGAGCATCGATCTGCACAACTGGGATACGATGACATGTGTGAACCAAGTCAGCGAGCCTGACCACCTGATCCCATTAGTCGCCTCTTACGACAAGCATGGGTTACTGAAGACCAATTCTAACCGGGCTCTTCACAGATGCCATCAAAACGAAGTTGAGGTATACCAGGTAACAAGAAGTACAACTTCGGGGGTCGGAGAGCGAACCACAGACCTTCCGCACCCCGGCAAACATGCTTTCCACTAGACGACTCAGATTGGCTGGTTATGATAAAGAGGTGCAATGAGTTTACGAGCTGAATTAGACTAACGCTTAATCTCTGAATATATATAATTTTGATAGCAATAAATAATCCCGTGTACATTGAAAAGGAGGCCCAACGAGGATGGGAGATTCACAACCCGAGGGAATCTAGACTTGCTTCATTTAGAGCTTTAGCATTTCACGGCGGCTGGAATGGAAACTGATGCGGTTGAGGGACTGAGAGACAGACTAGAGGTGAAAGTTTGTGTGTGTATTCGGGGCCATCTGCGTTCGTAAAATCCTTTATGACCCGCTGTTTAAACATTGAACTCAAACTTCACTCATTATTTCAATTTTGTTCCGTATGTAGTGAGTGTCAGGGCCTAGACTTTCGAAGCTCTCTTAGCGCTAATTAAGATAGTCGTAAGTGTCATACATTAACACTAACTTACGACTGTCATAGCACTAAGAGAGCTTCGAAAATCTAGGCCCAGGTTGATAACTGTTCCGTCTTTTCAGGTGTGCGCCCTCAAGTACATCCCCAAGAATGTTACAGAGAAACACATCAAGGATGCTCGGAACGAGATTCACATCCTCAAGCGACTGAGGCATCCACACATTGTACAGATGCTGGACAGCTTCGAGACAGACAAACATGTAGGTTCAGAACCAATGGGCTCCAATGACCCACCATCCTTAAAGGTCACATGCAACCAAAAAAAAACATAATTAAAACACAATTATCACTTTTTCATAACATATAATATACATTGCTGATTATGAAAAATCAAATAAACAAAATTATAAGCGTACAATCGCAAATCAAAAGTGCAATATTTTGTACTTTGGTATATTTCCCTCGAAACGAAGCAGCCGGGATACCGAACCCAGTCAGAGCGGGTGGGCGTGCAATTTTAAAGTGTAACGAAAACTTTTATTGGCTGGTTCATTTGCCGATACATTCAGGGCCATTTGTGTGTGTATAGAGATGTTGGATTTTGTAAATACGTGCTCATTTTTTGTGTATAACATTTTGCAATCAACAGACATCATAAGATGTCATGTGTACAAGAATCACACCTGCCTGTCTGTGTAATTACACAATGTGACAGAAACAGATTTTGGGTGCACGAGCCATAAATCAATATTGTTTGTGGTGTAATTTTGTTTGTGGTGTATAGCCTGATAGGTGTTAAGTTCAAATTGCATGTGGTCAGTGATCGATGTTGTGTATTACATATTGTCACTAGCAGACAGGCAGGCAGACATATAGGTGTCAATAAAACAGACATCGAGTTTTGTCTGTGACAGAGGCACATCTATATCAAAGTTAGACATTCTGACAATGCTAAATAATGACGTTGTTTTTAAGTATCGAACTGAGAAACTGACTCGGTAAGAAGAACGTGTGGTGAAATAGTCAAATGAAATTATATAAACAGTTAAATCGGTAATCTACTGTCATAACATATAATATGTTCGCGCCTGTGAAATATGAACAAAACATTAGAAAAATAGCTCACATCAAAGCCTACTCCGAGTTTTCACCGCCAGCGAAGGTTTTCCGTCTTGAAATGTCGCTTCCATAATACTCGTGAAGTGTTTCAGTCTGAACGTTATTGTAAATAATACTCGTGAACTGTTTAAGTCTTAAGTGTTTGCTATTATACTCGAGAGATAACACTGAACCTTCCTTAATGGTAGTAAACTGTTTCATTCTAAACATTACCGTATGATAATACTAGTAAACTGTTTTCCTCTAAATATTATCGTATGATAATACTAGTAAACTGTTTCCTCTAAACATTACCGCAGTATAATACTAGTAAACTGTTTCATTCTAAACATTATCGTATGATAATACTAGTAAACTGTTTCACTCTAAATATTATCGTATGATAATACTAGTAAACTGTTTCATCCTAAACATTATCGTATGATAATACTAGTAAACTGTTTCACTCTAAACATTACCGCAGTATAATACAAGTAAACTGTTTCACTCTAAACATTATCGTATGATAATACTAGTAAACTGTTTCATTCTAAACATTATCGTATGATAATACTAGTAAACTGTTTCACTTCTAAACATTACCGCAGTATAATACTAGTAAACTGTTTCATTCTAAACATTACCGTATGATAATACTAGTAAACTGTTTCACTCTAAACATTACCGCAGTATAATACTAGTAAACTGTTTCACTCTAAACATTACCGCAGTATAATACTAGTAAACTGTTTCATTAATCTAAACATTATCGTATGATAATACTAGTAAACTGTTTCACTCTAAACATTACCGCAGTATAATACTAGTAAACTGTTTCATTCTAAACATTACCGTATGATAATACTAGTAAACTGTTTCACTCTAAACATTACCGCAGTATAATACTAGTAAACTGTTTCATTCTAAACGTTCTCGTATGATAATACTAGTAAACTGTTTCATTCTAAATTTTATCGTATGTTAATACTAGTAAACTGTTTCACTCTAAACATTACCGCAGTATAATACTAGTAAACTGTTTCATTCTAAACATTACCGTAGGATAATACTAGTAAACTGTTTCATTCTAAACATTATCGTATGATAATACTAGTAAACTGTTTCATTCTAAACATTACCGTATGATAATACTAGTAAACTGTTTCATTCTAAACATTACCGTAGGATAATACTAGTAAACTGTTTCATTCTAAACATTATCGTATGATAATACTAGTAAACTGTTTCATTCTAAACATTACCGTATGATAATACTAGTAAACTGTTTCACTCTAAACATTACCGCAGTATAATACTAGTAAACTGTTTCATTCCAAACATTATCGTATGATAATAAAAGTAAACTGTTTCATTCTAAACGTTATCGTATGATAATACTAGTAAACTGTTTCGGTCATAACCTTCAAGTATTATAATATTCCTGAATTGTTTCCGTCTTAACACTCGTGCATTAAATACCTATTAACTCTATAAGTATAAACATTTTGGTATAATAGAAGTTCGCTCATCACGCCGAAGACCGGATACGATTCCCCACATGGGTACAATTTGTGAAGTCCTTTTCTGGTGTTCCCTGCCTTGATATTGCTGGAATATTGCTAAAAACGGCGTAAAACCACACTCAGTCAGTCAGTCTAATAGAAACACTGAGCTGTGTCAGTCTTAACTGCCTTGTATAACAATAACCCAGAACTCTTCGATCTTACTTTCCCTGTATAACACTTTGTTTTCTAGCTTAGACGTTGACCTTCTTTCCTACTCGTGATCTGTTCCGGCCTAAACATTTTCTTGTTAATTCTCCGGAGCTGTTTCAGGCTAAGCCTTCTTGCAGAACAATATCCGTGGACTGTTTTACATTCTTGTACTCGTGAAATGTTTCAGTCAGAAAGAGTTTGTCAAGAGCTTCAGTCTCGACTGTCATGTGTATATGTATCTAACCATTCTTGCATGTATGTTTGCAGATCGTGCTTGTGTTCGAGTACGCTGTCAAGGAATTGTTCAAGGCTATGAGGTCAGAGCCCAAGGGGAAGTTCAAGGAAGAAAAGGTACTGGTAGTTGCGTCTATTACGTCAAAGACATCAGTAATACACTGAAATACTGTCAAGGAAGACAAGGTACTGGTAGTTGCGTCTATTACGTCAAAGACATCAGTAATACACTGAAACACTGTCAAGGAAGACAAGGTACTGGTAGTTGCGTCTATTACGTCAAAGACATCAGCAATACACTGAAATACTGTTAAGGCAGTGTATGAAATAAGCCAAAAACCCAGCCAGACATCTGGGCTGGTAACTTCAAAAACTTACCAGCCCAGAAGAGATTTAATCAGTCCTTCTTAAACACTAAATAGACAGTGCCAGTGGACACGTTATCTGAATATTTTTGTCACCCGTCCATCGGGCTGACTAGCTTTAAAATTAGACCGTCTGGCAGACATCTAACCCGTCTCGGGCTGTCGGACGGGCCTTATTTCATAAACTGGTTAAGGTGAAGATAATATTCCACTAAAACATTGACTCATTGAGGAAGAGATAACGGGCCTTTAGTTAACGAGGTATAACCATTAGACCGACATAAATATATTATCAAATATATACCATAAATTTTAATTGATCGAGTATTCAACGAAAAAGGGCTCTGACAATTGAAAAGACATGCATGAAACCATACGGTACATTTGCTAATGGGACGCATACTATTACAATTTCCGGCTTAACAAAATGTAATGAATAGACGTTTTAACAGTAGGTTTCAAGCTCTGACTTCAGGCTACAGAACAGTTAGGTATCGCCTACAAATTATATCCCCTTTGACCCACCCCTCTTTGGTGCCAAGACCATCTCCGTGGTGTAGTGGTTAGAGCGTCCGCCCGGAGAGCGGAAGGTCGCGGGTTCGATCCCCGACCGCGTCATACCAAAAGACGTTAAAATATGGTACTTGTTGGTCCCTGCCTGGCGCTCGGCACTAATGGGTACAACAAGGACTGGTCGGCTCGGAGTCAGTATAATGTGTCTGAGTGGGGTATTCATGTTTCACTGCGGCATGGTATCTCCAGTGAGCTAGCACTATAAAACCAGCTTAAGTCTGGGCTAGTACAAACAGCCGTACATACACATACACACGCATGCACGTCGTCATATGAGCGAAATATTCTCAAGCACGACGTTAAACCCAATTTCACCTCACCTCTGTGGTACCATGGATGAGCGTCTGTTCGCAGAGTGGCTGTCCTTCGATCCCTGATCATGTTGTACCTAAAACTATTACAATATGCCCTGCGCTCGGCATTAAAGCGGTAAATCAACTACCAGTCGGTTCAGAATTAGTGTACTGTGTGAGTGAGGTATTCATGTTAAGTTGAATGGGCTAGAAACATGAGACCGACATTAGACCGGACTCGTCCATACAGACACACACATATACTAGTGAACACATTGCTACATAATTGAGATAATCCTGAATACGGCGTGCCACCTCACCCGTTCCAAGACGAATATGTGCAAAATAACGTCACATTTACTTGTGACAGTTGCCTGCTTCTTTCAATGTATGTTTAATAAGGCAGAGACCCGTGAAGATCCGGTTTAAATTTTCTGTGACCCGTGACTCGTAAGAGGCGACTAACGGATCGGGTGGTCAGACTCGCTTTATCAGTCGTCACATGTATCACAATTACAAAGATCGGTGTTCATGATGTTAATCACTCGTTTGAATCATTTACAGACCAGGGCCCCGTTCCACAAAGGTGATCGTAACTCCCACTGTAACATAGACTTACGACAGTTGTAGTGCTAAGGTGATCGTAACTTCCATACTGTAACATAGACTTACGACAGTCGTAGTGCTAAAGTGATCGTAACTCCCATACTGCAACATAGCCTTACGACAGTCGTAGTGCTAAGGTGATCGTAACTCCCATACTTTAACATAGACATATGACAGTTGTAGTGCTAAGGTGATCGTAACTCACATACTTTAACATAGACATAGGACAGTCGTAGTGCTAAGGTGATCGTAACTCCCATACTGCAACATAGACTTACGACAGTCGTAGTGCTAAGGTGATCGTAACTCCCATACTGCAACATAGTCTTACGACAGTCGTAGTGCTAAGGTGATCGTAACTCCCATACTGCAACATAGATAGACCTACAACAGTCGTAGCGCTAAGGTGATCGTAACTCCCATACTTTAACATAGACTTACGACAGTCGTAGTGCTAAGGTGATCGTAACTCCCATACTTTAACATAGACTTACGACAGTCGTAGTGCTAAGGTGATCGTAACTCCCATACTTTAACATAGACTTAAGACAGTCATAGCGCTACGATCGCTGGAATATTGGTGACTGCGGCGTCAAACAATAACCAAACAAGATAAGGCAACGTGATACGTCACCCTCCTCGTTGTTTCAGGTGCGCGAGATCTCGTGCCAGATCTGTTCTGGGTTGTACTACCTCCATTCCGAGAAGGTGCTCCACAGAGACCTCAAACCACAGAACATCCTCGTCACCCAGGGCAACATAATTAAGATTTGTGACTTTGGATTCGCGCGAATGATGGAAGAAAAATACTATGCCAGAACTATCCAGGTGAACTATTCGCACATCAATATGTTTTCTAAAATTACAGTTAATGATGACCTGTTAAAGGGTCACAATGACCATCAAGAATCGATTCAAAAATTTACAAACACGTTCACCATGAGTACTTGTGAACTTGTTTGAGTGGCATTTAGAAGTTGGTGTGATGAGCAACGAGGAGAGTTCTATGGATATACAACATTTGCTTGATAACGATATTAGTAGCTACACCGAAACGTCGCTCATATAATATTAAAGAAGTTGTATATCCATAGAACTCTCCTCGTTGTGCTTGCCACAAAAGGCGACTATGCTTGTCGTAAGAGGCGACTAACGGGATCGGGTGGTCAGGCTCGCTGGCTTGGTTGACACATGTCATCGGTTCCCAATTGCGCAAATCGATGCTAATGCTGCTGATCACGGGATTGTCTGGTCCAGACTCGATTATTTACAGACCACCGCCATATAGCTGGAATATTGCTGAGTGCGGCGTAAAACTAAACTCACTCACTCACTCTCCTCGTTGTACTTGTGAACTGACTATGACAAAGTATGCGCATGTCAAACTCTACCGGAACCACTCTTCGTTGGGTAGGTCACCATAAAGGAAGCTGCTTGTCAAGGGAACCTTTCTTTATTATTTATATATTATTTTCATTAACAGGGGACGCTGATCTACATGGCACCGGAACTATTTGGCCATGAGGCGTTTGTCCACTATACAGAGAAAGTGGACATTTGGTAACTATGGCAACTGACCCTTACCCGCTTTAGCCGTGAGGATAGATTGCATAAACGAATATAAACTAGAGTAAGTGACATGGGAATAAATATAACTAGAAATTAAAACTACATGACACTGTCGAATAACGCTTCCGAAAACAGTGTGTAAAACACCTGTATATCAGATACAATTGTAAAAATAAAATGATTGAAGATGCTATTTTACAATTAAGTTACCTGAAAAGGACATCTTGAAAAAAATACAAAATAACCATCAAACATGGATTTCACCCTAAATTTGTGGTTTATTTTCACCGACCTTTGAAAACTAAGTGACTAGCATTTAAAGCCAGTTTGCAAATACCTAGTATGATCATTATTTGATCGTCAATAACAAAATACACACATGATACAGAAAGATTCGAAAAATGGACAAAGCTTTTAGAAGAAATTTCTTATGATTACGGAAATTCCTTTTTAATTTTTTTATTTTATAGAATTTCAGTGACATTACATTGTTTCACCTTGATGTTAAAGGAACGCCCGAAGTGACCCATGGCCAGCTTTCACAAAGTGGCCAAAAGATGACCGTAACTTCCATTCTTTGCTAAACAAGAACCAGGTGGAACACTTAACGTTTTGGTAAAATCCGGAAACCTGGTATAAAAGCTGAAACTGTGTCGACACTGTTCTTGGAGAAATGTCTGAAGTGGCCTACCTGTTCCGTTTCAGGGCTCTTGGGTGCATTATATACGAACTGTTTGTTGGTAAACGACTATTCGAAACAAAGAGCTTGAAAGCTCTGTGTAAGCTGCATCGTAATGTAGAGCTCCCGAAGAAGATGAGCAGCAAGCTGACGGACCTGCTTCAGAGGCTGCTGGTGTGTGACCAACACAGTCGACTCAACTGGCCCAATATTCTAAACCATCCGTGGTTCAAGACTGGCATACCTGGTAGGAATGGCATTTTCTCGAACACGGATCTAGCTTGTCGTACCTTGCTTCGGTAGCAGTTAATGTTTTTCTCCTCAGAAGATACGAGTACGATGCTACCTTTGTGGCCATGATTTCTTTTATGCATGCTCTGTCATCGTATCGCATTGCGACAATCACTGGATTGTCTGGTCCAGACTCGATTTGTTTACAAACAACATCGTTCAGCTGTAGTACTGTTCAAACAAATATATACTCATTACATGTTCACAATTGTACAATCGGATCTGATTTTAGCAGAGATAACTTATGGATGTAAAAAGGGTTTTATCTCTAAATTCCATTAAAAAATCACGCTGTCATTTAGAAAGTGGTCAAATGTACAAATTCGAGTACTTTTAAAGGTTTGGGACCTATATATTACGTATTTGGTTACTTTATCTGTCGCTTAGTTCAACGAATATTTGTGCTTTGCGGTGGCTGGGATCCCTGGTTTTTTCGCACCTATGAAATTCTACGTATGTCGCTATTGGAAAATCGAATCACCATATACATGTATGGTACTTAGCAAGGAAGATAGCTGCATGTATGATAATACTTATGAAGTTAAACTAACCGATAAGGACTGTAGCTTACTTTATGACAATTCTTTGCAAAGTGTGCTTATCAAGAAATGTTCATTTGCTGGCGGTTAACGTGGAGTTTTGATCACGTGGGTACAATCCCGATAAGGATCGGCAATTATAGTCCGTTTGGCTCAAAAGCGGACCGATGAATTGCAATCTAACTCGAAAACATATAATACTCAATGAAACGCTGATCATAATCAAAACATCAGACCAACTCTGTGATTTGTTTGCAGAGTTTATGTCCTAAAATTTAAAAAGTTGTTTAACAAACTATCATTAAAATGTTGACACAGTTCTCTATTTGTTACGAGGGAGGAGTGCAGAGAAAGGGACAGCCAGGTGTTAGAGAAGCAGTACCGACAAAGCTATTGATTCATTAACCTGTGCTGTGCCGTCTCCATCCTTTCTCGCACACCCTGGCTGTCCCTTTCTTTGCACTCCTCCCTCGTAAACAAATAGTGACCTGTGTAAATATGTTGATGATAGTTTGTTAAACAACTTTTTATTTGATTTGCGTTGAAGCAAACAAATCAATTTGGGCATTTTCTTTAAATGACGCTGTTTCCAGATATCACAGTTGAAATGATTGACGATGAGGAAAGGAAACTATTCCAAACAAAGTGAAAACGTTTCTACCGTGAATGATGTGAACACACGAGTGATGGTAGATCTATTCATTAATTTTGTGTTTTGTATTCCTCAGTATCAGAGGCAGACTTGGCCAGGGAAAGTCCATACACTAAACCGGAAATAGGCGTGAAGAAACGTCAGGAACATCTTCGGAAGGTGGGTAAATTATTTAGTGCCGCACTCGGCAATATTCCATCCAAATGACAGCCTGGAAATAACGGAGTCAGGACCAGACAATGCATAGCTTGGACAGGCATCACCTGCCATATAATTGAACTTCACAATATTTACCATATTTAAGGTGTTTCTGTACAGACTGCATGTTCTCAGTGATAGAAAAGCCTTAATATCGTCAGCGCTTGTGGGACAAGATGGCGCCCTAGTGACGGCAGTAAAGGGGAGCACGCTCTGATTGGCTGAGTAGCTTTTAATCACGATGATACACAATCAGCAAAGTAACCGAATATGATCAGCTGGCCCTGCTGAGGCCATCCTAAGTTCCTGGGGGGTTGTTGTCTGCAGAAGGTGAGGGGCAGCAATTACCATCAACAGACAGGCAAACAGGCTCGATGTACAGTTTAAACAGGCACGATGTATAGTTTGTGATATTCACTACTGATATAAAGAACTCAAAGAAAGAGCCATAAAGATTTTTCGTTATAAGCGTAGTACGTTATACGCATTTTGATTAAAAACATGTTCGTTATAAACGTATGTGCATCATTCGAATCATGGCCCATGCATGTTCTGGACTCCCCCTTCATGTGACTTTAGAGATTATACCAACGCATGTATGAATAGTCAAAGTCAACTAGACTTATTATACAGAAGACCTGCCCATATACTACCTACCTACCTACCTATCCACCCACCCCATCATCCATCCCATCCATGTCATCCATCCCATCCCATCCATGTCATCCCTCCATCCCATCCCATCCATGTCAATCCATGTCATCCCATCCATGTCATCTATCCATGTCATCCCTCCATCCCATGTCACCCATGCCATCCCATCCATCCATGTCATCCCATCCATGTCATCCCTCCATGTCATCCATCCATCCATGTCATCCCTCCATGTCATCCATGCCATCCCATCCCACCCATGTCATCCCTCCATGTCATCCCATCCATGTCATCCACCCATGTCATCCATGCCATCCCATCCCATACATGTCATCCCTCCATGTCATCCATCCATGTTATCCATCCCATCCATCTAAGGCATCCATCCATGTCATCCCTCCATCCCATCCCATCCATGTCATCCCTCCATGTCATCCCATCCATGTCATCCATCCATGTCATACAGTTCACATTTTAACACCTCCTGACTAATGAATCCGTTACAAAAATAACACACTAACATCAAAGACACAATGTCTGTCTACGTCCTGCGAATGCAAAATTTCAGGTTGTCCACGTCTTAGAATGAAATCAACCCACCCTCCAAAAGTACCCACCCACCCTCCAAAAAAAAGCACACCAACAAAAAGCCCCAACCCATTAAATCAAGTTTGTCAAACTCGACATCCTGTCCACCAAGAATCAGGACTTCACAAAAGGAAAACGTTTGGAAGCCAGCGAAATCCGCCGCCACAAACCATTGATGTACAGAGATGAACAGAGATCAAGGTTACAATAGGCCTGTGAAGTAGCCAATCTATAGACTCTATCAAAGCACCCTGTCAGCTTGTTTTCACTACTACCCCCTCCCCTCCCCTACTGTTTATTGGCTTCATCACCTGTTCTTTCCGTTGTTCTTAGTCCCCAACTGGCCTCTTCCAATTATGTGCCAATTGTTCTTAAATTGCATGCTGTTGTTAATGTTAATCTGCTATTTGTCAAAACATATAATGTATATAAACCTCTCATCATTTGGTTGTGGTCACTTTAAGCGATAACGTGTACGAATCTACATCGAAACGTTGTCAATACAATAAGCACGATCTTGTCATCCATAAAGTTATATACTTCATTAACGTTTTTTCATCAACATCATGATGCAGGTCCGAATTATCCGACACTCCAGAAGTATGCGTCGGAGGAGACCAGATGCTGGTAGAGTGAAAGGGCTTCAAGTTGAATCTCGACCTGATAATCTCGATACAAAGGAACGTGAAGCAGCATCTGAGGCCGATTATCTTCAAGACAAGAACGAGGATGCCTCAAGAACTGACAATCTTGATGTAAAGAAGACCCAAACTGCATCGAGAACGGAACATGTGACAAGTAGTGCCGTTTTCCTCGAGTACCAGATAGATGGGTGGCATCTGGCACCGATGTCGTTGACGCAGCTAAGGACGATGTCGATATCGATGTGTGGACGGGTTTGGGGAGGACGATGACTTTGTGATATTGGAGGAAGCAATGGCAGAGGTAGATATTGATGACGATGTAGATGTTGTTGTGATCATTGGACTTGAGGAAGAGGAGGAGGATGAGGAGGGACACTTTGGTCACGAGAATGAAGATGAAGAAGATGACGAGGATGGCGATGAAGGTTCGGAGGACTGAGATGAAACCCATTTCGCAGCAATTTAGCATTTAGAATTCATATTGAATATGATGTCGAAAGTATTGCTATATACACTGACGTACAAAGAGGAAAGTAGCATCTCATAGACATTTAGAGTTGGACGAACATGAATACATGACACGTTTTGTGGATTCTATTTTTTACTTTTTATCACGACGTTTCAGAGCTAATTCTTGCTCCTTAATCAGGCGAATGGCGCCTAGCTCTTTGGAACTATTGTAAAAATACGAATCAACGTAGAATTGTTTTAAATAATACCCTAAAAAACAAGGTGTCCTTTCCCTTGAATGTCAGCTGTATAAGTTGTCAATTTCAATGTATGTCATTCCATTCATGAAGTGAATGCTCGCGGCGCAATATTATCATTACCAAGGTCTTTTGGATGTGTATGTACTCAAATGTCATTCTCATCTCCCTTAGGAGTATACATTTTTACATTGTATTATCGCCAAACATGCAGGTGTTAGAATACTGACTGAACATGTTACTCAAACTGAAGATTTAGTACAACCAACAATCATACCCAACCTTGTATCTTTTTTATGTATAGCAGTAAAAGATGTTACTCTTTGCTTCACTTATCGCGTTCCTTTATTTATTTATCACTATAGCAACAGTCCCGTAAAGAAGTTAGGGTATAGCTGAACCCTGCTTTGAATAGTATTTCAGCTGTCACGGTGATCCAGCTTGATGTGGAAAGAGACCGGAATAACGCAGGTCTAACAATTTTACAGCTATGACCAAACCACCAGAAACCATCTAAGGTATCATATGCCCCTCAGGCAAAACAGTTCTAGAGTGACAACAAGTCACAACATAAAGCCGGCGTCCGATCAAGTTCAAGCGTGCCCCTGCGTGGGTGAGTAAGTATGGTTTTACGCCGCTTTTAGAAATGTTCCACCAATATATATCATGGCGGGAGACACCCGAAATGGGCTTCAATCACTGTACCCATGTGGGGAATCAGACGCGAGTCTTCGGCGTGACGAGCGAACGTTTTAACCACTAGGCTACCCCTCTGCTCCGTACCCCTGCGTGAAGACGTTTCTCGGCACGGATATGGTGTTAACAGACATAACCTGGTAGAAGCGACATTCGAATCCCCGGTTGTAGGTTTCTGGCACGTATAAAGAGAATTCTGTCAGAGAGACAGTACTTAAATCATAATATAATGTTTACAATGCAAATATTTACAAAATCAAACACTAACGTCTTCCCATCAAAAGATTATTGTTCCGTAACCTTTAATAGAATACGTATTGTGTTCATAAAACGAAAACAAACATTAGTGTCTCTGATAGTTCACTGTTTAATGTTGAGACGGGATGGGGTCATGTATGTACAATTTTATGCGGCGTTTGTGACATTACTAATTCTAGTTGTATGTTTATAGAATTCTCTTGTTTGTTTGTGTGTTAATTGCTCTAGACAATACGACGGCGCTCCTTTTAATGATCTTTTCTGAACCAGACAATCCAGGGATCGATGTTACAGGCATCGATTCACGCCGGTAGGATACCAGGCTATCATTGTGAATGAGTTTAGACTTACGCCGCTTTTAGCAATATTGCAGCAATATTACGGCCTGGGACACCGGAAATGGGCTTCACACACTGTACCCAGGCTATCAATGTTAGTAACATAGTCGAACCACCCGTTATATTAAGTCGCCCGGTCCTTGCAATACGTATAGGTTGCTTTGGAATAAATTCTATTTCGAAATTCCAGCTAATCGTTTAGGACTTAACAAGCAAGTGATTGATATCGTGAGCATCGTTGTTGTACGATGACATGCATCAACCACAATCAACTAGGATGATTATTAATTATTAGTTCTGGTTTTGTATACTTTTAAGTCCCAAACATATTAATTATTGCTCGTCAAATCAACTAAACACAACAATACCTGAAGGTATTATACTTGTACACCTTGAAAATGCGTGTTCGCAGTTTTGTATAATTTCAATAAAATTTTGATTATTTCTGAATGTTCAGGCGTTGGTCTTATTCCTGTACATCTTGAAAATGCGTATTCATTTCGCAAAATGACCACAAAATAATACTGAGCAAACAAAGTTAAGGAACGTAAATATCTAAGGTGATATTTTTGTTGATAAGATCGACACCATTTCATAAAATTATAAACCTGATTTTTCTGCTCAGTATACAATTGTTACGGTCAGGTAGATTTTGTACGTTCTTTGTTTTGATTTCAATAAAATTTATTATGATCATTTGTAAATGTTCTGGCGTTGCTCTTCTTCCCACAAGGGGCCCGGATGTCACATTCGTCTAGGGTGCCGCAAGTCACCATGCAGGGTTGCGTGCTTGACGCCTGTCAGGAATCTGGGGTCGTTGGTTCGAATCCACATTGACCCGTGAATATCCGGGTTAGAAGAAGAAAAGAAGAAAAATATTTTATTATTGTGCCACATGCTAATATGCGACACGATTAAAACGTTTACATAGCATCCGGCCATTTGGCCTATGAGACACATGTATATATCACTGTGAAACATTTAAGATAAATAAAAATGTAGATTGCACATACATCACAATTCTTGCACACATAAGTACATTCATGCATGCGTCAAACTCCCCACACACCCACACACACTCACCCTTCTAGTCTCACACCAACCCACACTCACAACCATTTCACACACACACCAACCCCGTCCTAAGAGATATTTAGTCTCCTCCTGTACATGCGGTAGACAAAAGCGGCAAGATGTTTAACAAATGTTGTGTGTTGCACAGTCTGCTTAAAGCCAAAACCTAAGTGCAGAAGCAGTTCAAATCCGGAGACACAAGCCCTCAATCAACAGAGACCAGGGATATCTCATCCCTTCTGCATACAATGATCTCATAAAAACAACAGATTAGAGCACCTCAGCCATCATTGTTAATTAATCTCATCAGCATGTATATTTTATTTTTACCTCCACCACCATTGGCTTCCTATTGTCACTACATTATTGCCACCGTGCCTTGTTGTTATTGTTAATCCCCTGATTCAGTCCTACATGTTGTTATTACTTAATCCTGTTCATGTATATAAGTCTGTTCTGTGCTGTAGTACTTCACTCTTTCTTGAAAACGGTATAAGAATCCATACCGAAACGTCGCATCATATATAATAAAGAAGTTGTTATCCATAAACTTTCTTACTTTCCTATTAGTCACCAACTTCTAAATGCCAATCAAACAGATCATTGTTAGCCATACCACCTACTGACTTAAATTTGATATACATTCCTATTACTCCAAGGGCACGACTGGCCGATTTTGCTATCTCTATAGCTGTAAAGATTAAATCCAGATTTTCCTGTAGCCAAATTCTAAGATACTTATTGTAAAGAAGTTACAAACTGAAGCTTCGGGTTAGAAAGCTTTAATTACGATGAACAATGGTTGGTGCTGATGAGCACATGGTCTTGTACAGGAAGTCCAACTGGAGTGATCTCCCCTTAGAATATACTACAAACCTACAACTAGTAATGTTGATAATGCTATGGCAGGAACCTCTGTTGGCCAGACATACACATGTTGCACTTATAGGCAGAGTTATATTCCAAAACATTACAGCCAATATTGAATGTAAAACTTGACCTGGCAATAGAAGAGGGGCGATAGTGAACGACTTTAGTTTTCTGAATATTTGCCAACATACGCCACCTGGAGCACCAATCAGACACAACATCTAACATTTTCTGTAATGACACCTCATCTGGGGCTATCAAGGCAATATCGTCAGCATAAAGGAGAAGACTCAACATAACACCATCGATGTCAATACCACATCCTAAGCTTTTAATTTCAGTAGCAAGATGGTTAATATACACTGAGAATAACGTTGGAGATAATGTGCACCCTTAGCGGACTCAGATTGAATTTCAAAAGCATGTGTGTATTCGTTATTAACTCAAACCCTTCCAGAAGTGTTATCATACATAGCCTGAACTGCATGTAGAAATTTCCCATTAATTCCCAAATGAAGTTAGTTAGTTAGTTATACCCTAAACCTGTTAACTTTATCAAAGGCCTTCATGGCATCAATAAAAACAAGCAAAGGTAGACTGTTTATTATTCTTCTTATTTTTTAAGGACTGAATACAAACCATGTATATTTTCTTGCGTCCCTCGACCCGAACGGAAGCC